TCGATGGAAAGCCGCGTTAATGGATTCTCACGGCACTCTGATTGAAAATAATCTCATGTTTTTGAAACTTGCCTCACTCTTTTGTGTTGACAATTAGACTGTATTTTGCAAGTATGAACAATGTGTTCGACCCATTTCAAAAACGACTTTTGTCCCATGACCAGATATAATTTTGAAATCCAAAATGAGACGGCTGCATATTTTATTCCTCGTTGTGATGAGCCGAGTCGATTCTAGTTGGGTTCGGTTGGGTCATGCATCTAAACAAACTCCGCGGCAATGCGTAGAGTACCACTCAAATTGAAGGCGCGTTCGATTGATAGCCGCGTGAATGGATTATCACGACACTCTGATATAATCTGAAATAATAATTCATTAGATTTTATAGTTTCTAATTTTTCCATTTTTATAGTTTCATTTTGGATTTCAAAATTATATCTGGTCATGGGACATAAGTCGTTTTTAAAATGGGTCGGACACATTGTTCTTAATTGCAAAATACAGTCTAAGTGTCAACATTGTTTTAAGAGTCAGGAAAGTTTCAAAAACATGAGATTATTTTCAATCAGAGCGCCGCCGCGCCGTGAAAATCCATTAACGCGGCTATCAATCGAACGCGCCTTCAATTTGAGTGATACTCTACGCATTGCCGCGGAGTTAGTTTAGATGCATGACCTAACCGAACCCAACTAGAATCCACTCGGCTTATCACAACGAGGAATAAAATATGCAGACGTCTCATTTTGGATTTCATAATTATATCTGGTCATGGGACATAAGTTGTTTTTAAAATTGATTGGATACATTGTTCTTAATTGCAAAATGTAGTCCAATTGCTACACAGCCAGCTAAACTATTAAAACACGGCTCTGTGAGTAAGGCAACTGACCCATTCGCCTCAAATTGGTCTCAGCCTAATGCAGGATCTCCATGTCGTTTAGTAACGTCATTTTACCAAAACCTTGTGGGGGGGGGTGGTGGTCTGAAATGACCCCTGACATTATATAAGTAGAGAAATGAATATAAATGCATAGCTTGATGAGGCCAAATGACGTTAACTGAATTTATGTTAATTGATGGACGTTAATGTTACCAAAGTGAGTTAAAGAACTAAAGTCAGAAAGTTAAAGGAGGACGCAATTTATGAGCTTTCTGATGTTGCACCTTTACCATAACCCGAATCTTCTTGAAAACTTATCAATATCTCATTCCAATTTTTACAGAGAAATATTTTCGCAGTTTTATTTTAGATGTCTACAAATGTATAAGAAAACTACTCTCAAGGTTGCCAGCGGTCTGAAAAACCGGGGAAGTAAGGGAATTCAGGGAAAGTTAAGGAATTTCTGACACATCTACTAATCACTAAATCATATCACGGATCAGCCAACTGTGAACTCTTCCTGGAGAATGAAGTGCCCCAATTCATCATTTCCTTCCGCACGAAACATTTCTGCCAAGTTTTCATTTTAAAATTAAGCAAAGTATTGATTTTAATACGGATGACTCCCGACACTTTGATGGTAATTGGTTCAGGAATTTGATCGTGTATCAAAACCTTATGAAAAATCATAAAGGGGCAACAGTCATCACCCTTTTTCGGCTGTTGACCTACCTACTGGATGAATGGAGAGCATCGAATAACGTTATAAGCTAAGAATCCCAAACTTCGGTTTTTTTGCAAAACGAAACTCTCAACACGTTGTTAACAGTGGCGTGGCGTGAATTGCGATGTATCGATTCTCATGTCATTTAAAGCTATGGTAAAGAATCGATTTTTAAGGTGTTTGCTGCGAACACCCTGTCTATCGATCCTTTTTCATAGGTTTAAATGGCATAACAATCGATTTATCGCAATTCACGCCACGCCACTGGTTGTTAACCACCAACATAGTAGGTAGGTCAACAGTTGAATGTTGAAGTCCCGAAAGTAAAAGCTTCCATCATTGCCAAGCTACTTTCAGAGGGTCTCTTGTCTCTCACCGACTCCGAAGAGAGTACACATGTTGAAAATTTGAGGTTATGTCGGGCCGCCGCGCCGTCTACCGGGTCCAGACGACTGGCGTCGCGGCGCCAGCATCGCGCGTCGGTCATTGGCGTTGCACCAGGTCACGTATCCGACGTTCGACGTCGCATCGCGTGCCGACGGCCACCCCCTCCCCCCCGCTTCGCCGCACGAATCGATTGCCTCCCTTAACTTTCGCAGCTACGCCCGGCTGCTTGGTCTTTTCCGCGCAATGCACACGCATTTCCACACCTTGACCCTCCCCCACCCCTCCTCCTGGTAACCCTGTTCTTAACTTCTTACGACTTTTCCCTTGTAGTTGTTGCTTAACCCCCAACCCGACTTCCCCTCCCCGCCCCGCCCTCGCTCTGAGGTACAATAGAAACCTAACAGTGGCGTGGTATGCTGCCGTGCTAAGGAAGAATGTCGTATGAACATCCGAATGTTGCCAAATTTCCCTCTTCAAAAGTCAAAGTTATTCGAAAAATTGTGAATATTTTTTTCTTCAAATTTTTTTCTTCAGTGAATATTTTGTTCGCAATTTTATCCAAAATATCGACGGTGAAAGTCGGCAATCACATAACTCGTTTGCGGTGTCTGAAAATCTCCGCCTCCACGTCATTTTTCTAAAGGAGAACAAATTGATATTATTTCTTGAAGTTTTCGCAGAATTTTCTTCGCATTGAGAAGAAAAATAATGACAGTTTTAAAGAATTGCCGTTGAGTAGTTTTCCATTTAAAAAATAAAGTATGACAGGAAGTCTGCGACGTCGCAAACCGAGTTATGTGATTGCCGACTTTCACCGTCGATATCTGAAAATGTGAAGGAAAACTATGCAAAACTTTCCTCAGAAATACATGTTTAATTTAAGGAAATTCGGCAACTCTCGAATGTTCATACGGCGTTCTTCCTTAGCACGGCAGCATGCTTTGCGATTTATCGATTGGTCTGCCGTTTAAACCTATGAAAAAGGATCGATCGCAACGAAAAATTGAATAATCAATTCTTCACAACAGCTTCAAATGGGGACAGTGCTCCCATTCCATGTGCGTCAAAAAAGTTCCGGGATTCCTTTTAGAATTTCCTTTTTTTCAAAAGTTCCGAGAAAGTTACGGAAAATACAAAAGATCCGGAACATTACGGAAATTTCTAAAGTTCCGGGAACAATCCAAGAAAATCTCAAAAGTTCCGTGTTTTTTCTTCTCCGATAGATTAAAAAAAAAAAAAATCGCCCATATAAATAAACGGCAATTTCCCTTACTTTAGCCATTGCCTTTGGCATTCCGGATGGAAAGGGGTCAAGTGAATCATGGATGTTATGTGAGTGAACAAAGAATATGGTATGATCTTGATCATTTTTTACTTTCAAAAGCACGTTTGGCATATCCTGCGGTTTTGAAATTAATAGTTTTTGACGTTAGTCAAATATTTTTTGACGGACATGATCGGAGGCCTTCCGGGACCATTTGCGGATCCAGCAAATTGGCAACGTTGTTTTTCTTCATTTAGACGTATGAAAATATATCGATTCTTGGAGGGACCAGAAGCTCCGACGAAAATCGATTATTTGACTTGGGTTTAAATGGGGGAAATCCGATGTTGCCAAATTGCTAGATCCGCCTCTGCCCGGGACCTCCGGGATCCAGTCCTAGCCCCACTCTCATTGTCAGTAAAATAATTCACTTCATTTTGACACATAAACATACTTTAATTACGTATACAGTCTTACAATAAAACAAAATTAATATCCACAAAACATACGTAGATCTATGCCTGTACAAGTTTGATGGTATGAGTTCACATTATTAATTAGTAAGGAACTTTTATAAATAGGTATTTTTATGTAAATTCGTGCATTTTATATTGCTTGATACTTCTTTTTTTCATTTTTTTTTCATTTTTATATTGTCCCCCCCCCCAAAAAAAAAAAAATTTCTTTTACAAAAATCGAATTTGAACAGTGTTCATCATTTGGACTGCATTTTGCAATTAGGAACTATAAATCCTGGCCCGGTCTAAAAATAACGTATGTGCCATTAGTTTCCCTATGCACATAAGTGTTTTTCAGATGAGCCAGAATTTACAGTTCCGAATTACAAAATGCAGTCCATTTATTTGTACTCTTTCAAATACTCCTCTATGATTATCGCCAGCAAAAACGAAATCCACACTCGAGAAATTCCTTACCATCTTCGAAAACTATTTCGTTTGGTAATTAATTCCTCTTTCAATTAGTTTAGGTGATTCGATGGCGGCCTTATTTTGTATTAGAACGACGTACGCTATATCGCACCGAATAGTTCCAGGTTTTCAGCTACTTTTGCTGTGCATCGCGTTTTGAGATCGTGTCTTTACTGTCAGGAGACTAAAGAATTCACTTACCAAGGTTGACAAACAAATTCAACGTAAAGGCAGGGGGTTTTCCGAGGAGAAATATCGCATCCGATACTGATATTGAAACTGCACTCGAATGCTATATTTCTCTTCTACAAACCCCTACCTTCACGTTAGAAATGCTCGTCAAATTTGGTAAGCGAATTTTTTAGTCTCGTTACAACAGAAATGCGATTTCAAAATTCGATGAAAATTACAAGTAGCTAGAAACATGGAACTAATCGATGCGATACATCGTATGTAGTTCTGACACAAAATATGGCGTCAATCGAATCACCTGAAGTGTAAATGAGATATGACAGATGCTCCGCAGCCCGTGACAAGATATACAATAAAAAACATTTTAAAAAGCAGGTAACAAGGCTAACATTTCACATACAAGATCAAAACGTTTGGGCTGAAAATTCAGCCATCCTCAGTTCGGTTGATGAAAAGAAAAATGTTAAAAAATCTAAAATAGCACCTGGCTGTAAATCGAGAATGTTGTCATGACCTGAAGCGTAAAACGAGTGCAGCGAAAGTACTAACGTCCAGCATACATCGATTTTCATTGACTCCTCCAAATGGAGCAGTAAAATTGATTTTCTGCCTCTTATGTTTCAGTTTGCGTCGAGGCCCTGGTGCTAATGTCCAAGATGCAAGTGGTTACTCGTGCCTCCATCATGCCGCGCTCAATGGCCATGCGTAAGTACTTCCAAGTATTACTAAAAAGTATTTAGCGCCGATGTAAGTATCGATTTTCATAAGACAGGGTCCCCCGATTTTACTGCGGTTTGTGGGCAATGATTTGTCTCAGGAAAGCTGATATTGACTACTGCTATTAATTTTTGCAGAGGGACCCCAACCTCCATCCCAAATTGTCTAAAAATGCACAATATTCCTCCAATTGTAATCCGTAGTTTGACTTATAATAGTGGCGCATTTCGTTGCAACAGCTCACTTTCCGTGCCCGATTCGCGGCCGAGAGATTGCAGGTTCGAATCCCTGGCTAGGTTTTTGTTACTAAGTTTACCTTCTAATTTCATTATCATTAAGTAGATAAATCCCTCTTCCCTAGTAGTCACTCCCCACCAAGGTTGCCAGATCGTGCGAAAAAACCTGGGTATGTTACAAATTGAATTGAATTGTGAAGAATGCTGAATTTTCAGCAACATCTGGCAACAATGCTTCACAGTAGCAAACAATGCTATGAAATAATTACAGAAGTTGCGCTTTTACGCAATAACATAAACATTAGTTGACAAATATAGGTCAATTCCTTGGGGGGNGGGGGGGGGGGTGTCGGACATTCCTTGAAAGAAATGGAAAGCACCCATCCATGTGTTTCTGGTGCGCTTGATGAACTGATCACTTCTGTCTCTGCAGGATAGACAAAGCGATGGACAAAGAATAAGAAGGTATAGTGGAGTTATACTAGCGCTGGCTGGAAGCAGATGGTTGCAATGCACTGGAAGAAAAGTCCCTGGATCCAGAATCCATACTCTTAGAAAAAGTTGACAAGAAAAAAGACTCTTAAATCTTGACTCAATCGAATTTTTACTTGAATCAAAAGGAGACCCGCTTAAATTAAGGGGCTGCACGGGCTCTCGGTTCAAGCAAAAATTCGCGTGAATGAAGACAAGAGTAAGTTTTCCTTGTCGAATAGGTTAAGTGTCCGGACTCTAGATCCAGGAGACTTTTTTCCCAGCGTGGGCTAAGGAGGCAAGTGATAAACTAACCAATAGCAACCCTAGAGAGACCCTATAGTTAGTCCATCATTTGCCCCCCCCCCCCCCCCCCNCCCAGTCTTTAAGAACCACCAGAGTTTCTATTAAAAGCACACTGAAAAAAAATTTTCGGTGTATTTACTAAGAAAAGGGTAAAATTACCAAGAATTCAGGGTTCTATTTGATCCCAGTTTTTTCTTGGTAAAATTATACCATTTATGGAATTGGTAATTTTACCGAGAAATCTTTGTAGAATTATTGAACTTTCTCGGTAATTTTACTGGACCTTGGTAAAAACGCCAATATTTTTTATCGACTGTGGTAGAATTATCGAGATAAAATGGCAAAGTTACCGGGAATCAATTACCAATAAAAGTGGTATTTTTACCTGAAAAAAAAAACAGTAAAAATACCGGTTTTTAGGTAAGTTTACTAGTCTGTCATAGTAAAATTACCAATAATTGGTAAAAAAAAAGTGTGATGGTAAAGGCACCAACGGACCTTGGTAAAAACGCCAAGAATTTTTTTTTTCAGTGCATCAATTCATTTTCCCATCGTCTTCCTTGTCTATCCTTGTGTCTCTCAATGTCAATAATCAGCCAGCTGAGAGTCAATCGTTGCTGCATTAATATGTTATCCTCACTTTCAGGGATATCGTGGAGCTTCTCCTCACACACGAGGCCTCACCGAACATCGTGGATAACAAGGGTTCCTCCCCGATCCATCTGGCTGCCTGGTCTGGGAACCTAGAAATAGTCAGACTCCTCCTGTGCCACGGTCCGTCTGTTCCGAATGTTAACCTCACGGTCAGTATCATCATGACAAGTCATTTCCATTGTTGTATAGTCTTCAGCATTATCGATCCAATCTCATGGGAAATTCGGCATGTCAGGGAATTTTCTTTTGCAAGCAATTTTCGCGTCAGAAAAATCGAAAAACCCGATTTATCGGAAAACGTTTCGCGAATTTTACTCTTGCGGAAATGTCTACCAAAATTTCTGCTGATGTCATTTATATTTTAAAAATGAGGCAAAAATATCTCGCATAAGTTTAGGCGACGCATATTTTGCTCTATTTATTACATTGTATTCCTTAAACATAAAAACAATTCTTACTTACATACAGTGCTCGAAACTCACTGTGCGCGCAGGCACGTAATTTCAAGCGCGCAGGACGGAGAGCAGCACCGGGTTGTAAGGCCGGTGATGAAAGCTCATCCGAGCGCTTGAGTGGACTGGATCAGGCGGTGGGCGCCTGATGGGCAGGCAATCCGCGACAGTGGGCGCGGCGTCTTCGGTTTGTGCGCTTGAAGCGCGGTGAAGACCCCCAAGGGATACCCCCAGGGCTTGCCTAAGCGAATCGCTCGGACGGATATCGCGATGAGGCGATTGCGGGTTGCTCCGTGCAGCGCTGTAAGCGGCCAGGCACGGGAGCCACTGTGGAGTCAACAGCGTTGGGAGCTGGACTGAGAAGTCAACAGCGTTGGGAGCTGGACTGAGAAGTCGACAGCGTTGGAAGCTGGACTGAGAAGTCGACGGCGTTAGAAGCCGGACTGAGAGTCGACAGCGTAAGAAGCTGGACTGGGAAGTCGACGGCGTTAGGAGCCGGACTGAGAAGTCGACAGCGTAGGAAGCTGGACTGGGAAGTCGACGGCGTTAGAAGCCGGACTGAGAAGTCGACGGCGTTAGGAGCCGGACTGAGAAGTCGACAGCGTAGGAAGCTGGACTGGGAAGTCGACGGCGTTAGAAGCCGGACTGAGAGTCGACAGCGTAATAAGCTGGACTGGGAAGTCGACAGCGTTGGGCGCTGGACTAGATGCTTCTTCTTGGAGACCTGAAAGAGAAATGGTGAAAATTCACTTACCAAGGTGCTCAAGCTTGGTTGAGGAGTGAATGGTGGATCACACTTTGCATGGGCCGTGCCGCTGGGATGCCGTCAAAATCAGACGACGGGCGAGAGCGGCGGAACGTCTAAAGCTAGGTGCGTCAACGCGATCTAGCGGACAGCGGCGTCGCGACGCCGCGAGGTGGGCGCGCGGGTTGCGGGGGAGCGCGGCCGCGAGAAGATGAGCGCGGCGGCGAGGAGGGGGAAGCGCGGGTCGCGGGGAAGGAGCGACCGCGGCGCGGAGTCGGCCGACGGCGAGGCCGGTGCTGGCCGAGTCATGTTCACGGCGTGAACACTCACTTTACAGTTTTAGGAGCCATTATGTGGCCCATCAAGCCCAATTTTTAGGGGCCATTGAAGATTTAGGGGGGCCAAATTGACTTTTTGCATTTATATCACGGCGCGTATCGTAAAAAGTTAGACGCAAGATGTTTTAGTAACAGAACTAGTAGCTGTAACGTGTAACTTTCGAAAAATCACCGAACAGAAAAATTAGGATTTTTTTTTTTTTTTTTTTTNGGGGGGGGGGCAACTTTTAGGGGCTGCGTTGGCGCAGAGTCATCATTATTTAGGCGCCATGACCGATTTTTTAGACGCATTTGAGGCGCATGTTAGTTGCGAACACTGCTTACATATAATCAGTTCAAACGTGTCGAAAAATTAGGAACTTTTCCCTTTTTGTTAGGGAATTCTTTTTTCCGTCTGTCAGGGAATTTTGAATTTTACCCCTGTTTTTTGCCGTTTTTGTCTGGAAAATCGGGAAAACGGCGGGGGTTTTTTTGTGAAAATTGCTAGACTCCCTTGAACTGGAAACAATTTTGTAAGGTAATTTAACCAATAGCCACTTCCACGAGGAAGACCATTATACTCACGAAGTATCCGGCACCTAGACAAATAAACGCGATTCGCAGATCTCTCATGGAAAAAGGTCTCACGGGTATCTCCACCTCCAGAAAAAGTTCTTTTTCGAACAAATCAGACAAAAACATATCCTCCTCATAAATCTTAGCCACGATCCCAACCTCAAAAGACCTCTGTAGAAGATAGTTGACCTCGTCGCGAGCGAACATGTGCCTCGGAATGAAGTACGACAACGGGTAACTGGCGAAACACTCCCGGAGAGTGTGATACTCAAACGTTAGGCCAAAATCGAAAACTATCCAGTTTTTGTTCGGCACCCGAGATGAGGTGATGGTTAGAAAAGCGTCCGACGTCATGATAGCTCCAAGATTCTCTAATACTGACGTTGCCGCGACTTTAAACATTGACTGGTTCACGATAGACTCACACCACGGACACATAGACTCTGCGGAAAATTCGACGGTGTAGTTTTGATTGTACAAAATATTACTCATGAGAATCTCATAACTGTAGCTGAAACTCCCGACGAGCCGCTTTAGAATGTAGTGAAATTGCTCCTCCGCCATGAAAAAGTCCCGGTCCAACACGAGGTTCGACGATTGAAGGAGAAGATCCGACTCGGCGAACTGTTGCAACGTGTCGATGTCGTCGTAGCGAACTCGAGTGTTGAGGATGTTCATCATTCCACTCTGGAGGAGCGTGTTCAAGACGATCGCCGCGAAGGCGAAAATACCGAAAAGTATCTTTCCTGACGGTAATTTGCCGAGGAACAAACGCGGTTGAGCCACACACAGAAGATATCTGTAGATAGTCAAAGCAGTGGATAGACCCTCGTACTGGATGATCTCATACTCGGAGTACAAGTGTCTCAATTTTCGCAACTGGAACCACTTGTGAAAGTGCTGCAAGAGGAGGAAGGTCCCGATCGTAACCAGGAGGCACACCCAAACCGTTAGGTTGAAGCATTTGAAGACAGTCAAGTACAGCGGCTTGAACCCCTCCCGGGGCACGGATAGGCACAGAGAGCCGAAATCGGTGACTGGCGTCTGGTCAAAGTTTTCGAAATAATTGCTTCTCAAGCGAGGAATCGCATCGATAAGTAATATAATCAAGTCGTATTTTACCGCGAATTTGTACTCCTCTAACTCCGTGTACAAACCCACCGGAGGTAGCATGATGCGTCCTGAGCGCAGCTTGCCCAGAAGACTAACGACACTACTAACGGACATTTGCCATTTCCTTAGGCCCGTGCGCTGGTCAATATTTTGTTGGAGAAGTTCAGAGACATCGTAGTAATTATACCGTTTCCCGTTCATCGATCGCCATGCAAAATCGAAGTACTCTTCGCCCCGCGAGCCTCTGTAGACGTGGGTCTTGTTGAAAAACGAGTCGTACCAGTAGCACTCGATCATCGAGCAGATCACAGTCTTGCGACCCTTGAAGATTCTCCAAATCAACCGGAATGTGAAGAACAAGTCGCACGCCAACGCTTGCCCATTTCCACCCGACAGGACTACAAATACCAAATAATTATCCGGGTTCCAGACTTGACCGTAGGCCCCACCCGTGAAATTGAGCAAATCGTCTCTTAAACAACTGCCGTCCTCTATATCCTCGATAGTTATCTCGATTGTCTGATCACAAGGTCTCGTGTGATCGCGCACGATAGCCCCGGTTTTGGGATCTTGAAGGATACAGATATTCGGATATACTGATCTTCGGTGGGTGGACGTAGCATTTTCACTCAGTGACTGGAGTTTAGACGGATGGTGGATGGAATCGAGGTTCGAATCCCGGGAGCCATACATGGAGCCTAGCATGAAATTTATAATGTCACTACAATCATCTACCACAAAAATCATGCTCTTACTAAGTTCATCAGTCGCATAGAGGTTAGTATCGGTGAGACTTGAAGTGATGGTGGCTATAGAGTTGCTGTGCAAGTATTGGACGAGTTGGGTGCAATGTGTGTCTTGGCTAAGGTTGACTAAGTAAGTTAATCGGAGTTTCGAACGATTTAATGTGTTTTCGCATACCTGGGTAAGAAATGATATGTTCGTACCTAGGTTGCTGAAATATGGGAGTTTTTCAGTCATCGCACAACATGGAAAACAAAATAAAAGTATCCCGATGTTAAATATCTCCATTGATGAGGTCCAGTAGAGCAAAATTAACTTCACTAATTATCTTCACACGATTTTAAAGCTGACTGCGTTTTGACGACAACAATATTAAGGAGACACATAGCAACTGCGCTGTTTGCATGACATCTAAAGTTTTTACGTTTAAATTGGAACGACACTAGTGTTTTCGTATTACTGTTGTTAAATAGTTTGTTTATCAAGAAAAATGTAACACATTTTTGTACCTACCTGTCAATGTCAACATTCTTGAGTTTCAAGGTTTTTTAATAGAGTACAACAAGGAAAATTTCTGTTCGACTCTAAAGGAACTTGTTATTTTTCCCATCAAAATAACTTGCTCTAAATCAAATGAACTTCTGTTTTCTAACAATCAGCATTTTTTTCAAAGCAACTGAAATTTCCTCAGAAAAACTGGAATAAAGTCGACAGATTTCTTTCTGATTCTAATAGGATATTTTTTTCTAGTATCAATCAGAGTTTTGTAGTACAAGCTTGAAATTAATTACTTTAACCCAAAACACAGTATTTAAGCGGAATGTGAATGATCTAGGAATGATAAACAAAAGCTGCCCTCACGTTATGATGTTGCTCGGCTGGTATTTTTACAAATTAATATTCATCGTGATCCATGGGAATATGTGTTTGGTCAATGAGCAAATCATTACTCGTTACATCCAGTGGCGAAGCGTGAATGATCGATTATCGATATTTCCCATTTAAAGCTATGGCATAGAATCGATCATTAAGATGCTCGTCGCGAACACCCTTTTTATCGATCCTTTTCCCTAAGTTTAAATAGCAGATATCAATTGGACCGCGTTTAACAGAAAGGAACCAAGTCACATCAGCTATTGCCAATTTTAACTGGGCAATTTAATTTTTTACGAGAAAACTTTTGTGCGGATCCCTGGAAGGAATTCCAGGAATTTGCTTCGCACTATGGAGAAAATTCACTGAAATTTGCACGAAAATCCGCACAACTGTTTTCATGTAAAAAGTTTAACTAGCCGATTAAATTTGGCAATAGCTGATGTGGCTTGGTTCCTTTCTGTTTAACGCGGTCCAATTGATGTATCGCAAACTACGCCACGCCACCGGTAACATCATGAAAACTTAGCATCAAACTTTTGAAAACGTATATATTCCCATTAATACAAACTTAGGGAATTGGATGTTTAGTGGCGATGCGTTAATGATCATTTATCGAAATTTCCTGATCAAAAGCTATTGTGATAAATCGATTAATCAGCTTGTCGTTACGAACTCTCTCTTTATCGATCATTTTCCGTAGGTTTAAATGGCAGATCAATCGATGTATTGCAGAATACGCCACACCACTGTGGATGTTGCTCACTGATACAATGAACAAGAGGAACAGCGATAAAGTGACCTTTACTTACACTTTACGTCGACGTGCATCATCTGTCTCCCTAGTTTTCGGCATGAACACTTATTTTGACCACAATGGACCAATAGACAAGGTACGAATTTCAGCATTCTGATACATGTTTCTTAACCAAAATTTCACGTAAAATACGATGCGTTCAGCGGAAATTACCGAAATCAATACCTTACGAAGATATTTAATGATTCTTAATGCGTGAATTCAAACCATCCGCTCATGAAGACTCAATGCTCTACTTGATTCACATCGAGCGCTAAACGTTCTCATATGACAGTCTCTGCGATATAAAAATCTGGCAACCTCGATCTTGACGCTTTGGCTCAGCTATAGCTAATTGCTCATAGTTTGAACAACACATGGTGGGAAATAAACATTGCTCGATTAAGAAGCTTGCTGAAACCGTTGTAGTGCGCGATTTGACTCACGTAGAGCTTTGAGTTTCTTGTGAGCGGGCAGTTCAAATTCCTCGTAACCAATGTGTAATAAAAACGTTAAATTCTTCGTTAAAAGTTGGTTTCAGTAATTTCCGTTGTAAGAATCGTGTTTTACGTAAAATTCTGTTTAAGAAACATGTATCAGATTGCCTAAATTCGTACCTTGTCTAGTGGTCCATTTGCAATAAGGAACTATTTTCTTTGGCTCACTTGCGAAAGAAAATAAATGTCGTTAGTTTCCCAAGGCAGATACGTGCTTTTAAGGCTGAGCAAGAAATCGCAGTGCTAATGGAAATTTCAAGGAATTTCAGGAGATGTAGTCGCAGTTTTGCCTCTTGTCTTCCCTCTATCCGAATTTTGAGCTCTCCGAATAACGTTTGTAAGATCTAGCTAAACGCTGAATCCGTACCATGCAAGTAAGCTTAAGGCGAACATTGCGGAAAGCTCGCGAAAATGGGTCAGTTGCGCTGGTCACAGAATCGTGTTTTGATTACTGATTCTTGCAGATTAGCTAAAAATAATGAGATCTGCCTAAACAGCATTTTTCTACGTTGAACATTAACGAGATATCAAACTTTGAAAAATTCCGTTTTTGACGTCATTCACCGCGATAGTGACACCCATGGTTTCTTCTACCTTGCTTTCATCCGAATTTCACGTCGAGTACCAATGTGTGTCTCCCTGACTGATGGAAGCAAGGCGGAAGAAACCGAGGGTGTCACTACTTCGGTAGATGACGTCATAAACCGAAGTTTTCAAAGGGCGATATTTCAGTTAAAATTAAACGTAGGAAGCACAGGTTGCCACAGTCGAGCAATACCGGGAAATGTCAGGGTATCTCAAAAAGTCAGGGAAAACCTAGAATTGTCAGGGAAAATGACAAAAATGTCAGGGCAAAATAGTCATATCACCTTCATTTGCTTTCTCGAGTGGGTTTGACGTTTCGAACAAAACTTTTTCCTAAAAACTATTTCTAACTATGTCTTTTTCCAAATCTAGTATTTGTCCAATCGTCAGGGAATTCTGCCAAAATGCGTCAGGGACATCAGCAAAACGTCAGGGAATCTCATTTTCCAAATTCTGTGGCAACCCTGGCAGTCGCTCTTTTGACAGATCTCATTTTTTTTGCTGATCTTCAAGAATAAAGCATCAAGATACGATTCTGCGACCAGCGCATCTGCTCCTTTGGCTGTATCTCTTGCATGCAGCAGGATCTATTCAGTCTAAAAAATTTGGAAGCTACCCTGGGAATTTTTTTTTTTTTTTTTTTTTTTCAAAATGGGCTAGGAACTCTTCAACTAACTTATTTGATTTTTTTGTGTTACAGACTCAGGACAATGAGACGGCACTGCACTGCGCTGCGCAGTACGGGCACACGAGTGTGGTCAACATCCTCCTCGAGCACAACTGTGATCCCACAATCAGAAATACACGCCAAGAAACGGCACTCGACCTTGCTGCACAATACGGAAGGTAATTCGGCCCCTAAAATATCACTTTAAAACCTCTTGATCCCCCAAAATGTATCATTTTTGCCAGTGTCAGTCGTATAATTCAGGGTGTCTAGCGATTTAAAAAACCGGGAAACGTAAAGGAATACGCAAAAATTTGGCATGTCAGGGAATTTTATTTTGCAAGCGATTGTCGTGCCAGGGAAACGTCATGGAAATCTAAAAACACGGGTTTTTTTTTTTTTTTGAAAATTGATGATGAATCAAGTTTCAGGAAAATGGAATCGATACTAAAATTTCTACCAGAATTTCCGGTGATGTCTTTTAAATTTTAAAAATGTGGCAAACGTATCACGTATTAGTTTAGAGAGAGATAGTAGATTCCATTTTCTTAGTGCCGTTCCCGTCAACGGAGAATTCTCATTTAAATCCCGTGTCTTATCATGGAATAAACTGAGCTGATTTCCAAGACTGTTATGCTCCCGGTAGGTAAAAGATTGGCAAGTGCGTAAAAAATTAGGCAAATCCTGGGAAAATGCAGAAATTTCCCTCTGCCGCCAATAGCCAGGAAAAAAGTCAAGAAATCAGATGCTGAGCTTGCAACAGTCGTTTTTACAACATCGTTGTTTTTAATTTTTAGGTTGGAGGCCGTGGAACTTCTAGTCCGAACGCACCCGGAGCTCGTTCAAGCCTACAATTCAAAGACTGCCAACTCAATATTTCCTCATACGCCTCTTCATTTAGCTAGTCGAAATGGCCACAAGTAAGTGCCCGATAGAGCTCATGCACCGATTATTATTTTTTCAGCCACTTCAAATCTTTGAATCTGCTTTTTTTTTCTACATTCATCTTCTCTCTCTTTCTCGACCGATCATTCAAACGTAGCACGTTCTCGCGACTCGTCACAGTGAATGTTGTCCAAAGGACTGATTATTGAAATGAATAGACAAAGCTATAGACGAGGAAGACAAAGTAGACATGGAGGGATCCTATTGGTGCGTGGAAGCGGATGGTTGCAATGGACAAAGGACTTAGTTACTGGACCAACTGACGGCCACCCATGCACGAGAGACCCGATAGTTAGCCCAACTTTTACCACCTTAGTCTATAAGGAGCGCCCGTTTCAACGAATAGGATAGCTTCATACTCCTTAGATATTCTTTGTCTATAGTTTTGTGTGTCAATTTCAACAATCAGTCCGCAGATTCCCAAGTAGCATTTTTCAACGGAAAAATCGGGATGTATTGCAATTTTATCGGCGATAAAATCGCTAGGATCATCAACGTCCGAGCGATTATCTTCGATCTTATCGGGATAAAATCGCGATTTTATCGCAAGGCAATTAATCGCGATATTTTCGAAATGAAAATCGCGATTTTATCGCCAGACAATTTATCGCAATATTTTCGAAATAAAAATCGCGATAAATGGCGATTTAATCCCGCTTTTATCGATGGAAATGGATCGCGATTTTATTGAACTGAAAATTGCGATGTATAGCGATTTAATCGCCATATATCGCAATTTTTAATGCGATAATATCTCGATATATTGTCACCGATATAATCGCGATAACCAACCGATAAAATCGCTATTCATCGCGATCACTGCCACTTAGGTTATTGTAATTTATAGACGAAGCGATGAAAAAAGAAGACAAAGAGAACATGGGGCGATCCTATTTATGGTAGCGAGTGGTTCTAATTGACGAAGGATAAGTAATGGACTAATTAGCTCTTGTACGTGTGAGGGATTTGTGATTTCAATTTTTTTTCTTGTGTAAAATTGCGAGAGGAAAACGATGGTGCCGTTGGTCTCCTCCGATAGAAACTCCAAAGCTCTCAAAATTTAAGCCGTAATGAAGCGGATACTCTACGCTACCCTGAGAGTCCACCTCTATATCCAGTCGAATTCTCCATGGAAAGATAGGGAGCAACTACATTAACAGGGTTGTCGTGTTTTCAGTTTTGGAGTCCCTAAACAAAGTGGCAACCAGTTCATGTATTCGCTCTCTACCTTTGCATGGAGAGATTGGCTTGATGATGATGTAGAGGTGGACTCCCAGGACAGCGTGGCATATCCCTTCCTCTACGGCCTCAAATTTGAGAGCTTTTTATGGTTTTTTCTTGGATCGCAGTCATTAAAAAGGAACCAGCGCAATTACGGTGTTGTAAAAATGTTGCTTCTTCATAATTATCTAACAAATTTCCCCGAATAGAAAATAGTGTTGGCTCTCCACCAATGTTAATTTGAAAGGAAAATAATCGTGTGAATTTTAATACTGTACACACATACACATATTAAGTATTTTTAAAAGAATTGAAGAAGTCGCACGATTTTGAAAACACTGTACAGTAGACTCTGGATTATCCGGCTTCGTATTATCCGGACTCTGGATTATCCGGATCGATTTTGCAACCTTGTAACTACGTACGCATTCCGATAAGTGAGCGGATCCGCGGAGAAGCGGTCGCAAGGCATATTGGCGCCTGCAAGGCTGAAGGAATACTTCACGCATTGCGCCAAACAGTGAGGTCGGCGCGGAACGCATTAGCGCCTACTAGATTGCATAAATACTTCTCGCATTACGCCAAACGCAGTGCAGTCGTTTAGTTAGCCTAAAACGCACAGTAGCGGCTACAAGAATGCATGAATACTTCACGCATTGCGCACTTTAATCGTTGTATTGTAATTTATCGTTGTCGGCTACCATTCACAATCACCATTGAGTCGTTCAGTTTGGCGTTAACCTTTTAAATTCGTGTTGGTATGTACATGATGTACACATAATAAGAATACTGTGGTGTTGGTTGGTGGTGTTCGTGTTTACTATTATTATCCGGATTTCTTTTTCATCCGGATCGGGCCCGGCACCAATTAATCCGGATAATCCAGAGTCTACTGTAATCGCGCTGGTTCCTTTCTGCTAAATGCGATCCAATTTTGCTTCAACGAAAACCATTGGCACCCCTTGTTTCAAATGTGACGAAATTAAAATTTTGCAGTTGTAGTCAAAAATTTCATGTCCGACCTCCTTGATTGACTCGATCTGTTGTGTGCCGGAAACCCCGCCGCTGCCATATACTGCGTTTTTCCTTCAGGTGATTCGTCCAGCTCAAGTGACGTGCTCGAACTGACGTGCGCTATATCGTAATGATTAGGTAAAAACTCTCGGCAGATTTTGAATTTTTAGCCAAACAAAGGACGATAGCCCCTGCGCAAGAGCCTAAGGAATCATTCTAAGCCCATAAATCGGCAAAATTTAGAGAAATTAAAGCAGAATAGTGTTTGGGAAAAAACCTCGCATTCGATACAGAAATCGATAGCTGAATCGAATGCGAGGTTTAATCCCAAACACTATTCTGCTTTTATCTTTCTGAATTTTGCAAATTTATGGGTTTAGAATGATTCTTCATGCTCATGCGCAGGGGCTATCGTCCTTTTTTTTGCTAAAATTTCAAAATCTGCCGAGATTTTTGACCTAATCGATGCGATATATCGCATACCAGTTCGACCACGTCAACTAAGCTTGACGAATCACCATAAAGCGGCAGTAAACTGTCTTTTATCCCGGGGACAGTCACCCAGCACTAGAGTCCCTTTATACTGAGAGTCAAGACAATTCGGCTCATGGATGTCACAAACGGGAATAAAGATTACACAAATTGAACGTTTTCCGTAATCTTTGATCGGCCCATTCTCAAATGCCTTTCTCCGTTCATCCTCTCATTCCGTTTGTTCCTTGCCGAACCCGTAATTTCCTGGTCCATTCCAGATTATAATATTTGCAATTGGTGAAAATGTAATCTTTATTCCCGTTGGTGGCACTGTGGAGGCCTAAAATACGGGAACCAATCAGAAATGGATTCAAATTGTCTTGACTCTCAGTATAAAGGGACTCTACCCAGTACGGCAACAATGAGTTGCATTTGAGCGTGTTATTGTGGCTCAATCACAGCCGGGCGGCTGGCGCTGGCTCCCCGTTCTGTGATTTCAAGTCAGGTGTAGGTGTCTCGGTTGTTGGTGCTGCGGTTACCCGCGAGCATGCCGGAGAATATGTGCGTAAGCTCGTCTCAACTCGGGCGTCGCGACGCCACACGTTGCGGCCGTAGTTCCGTCGGCGCCCAAACCTTAGGTCCCACGTCGCCCCTAATTGGACCGCGCTAAGCAGAAAGGACCCAAGGCACATCAGCCATTGCCAAATTTAACTGGGCACTTTGATTTTTAACACGAAAACGGTTGTGCGGATTCGTATGGCAGTTTCAGTGAATTTTCTGCACAGTGCGAAGCTTAAGCCTCAAAATATTCAAAGGAATCCGCACAGACGTTCTTTTGTAAAAAATTAAAGTGCCCAATCAAATTTGGCAATAGCTGATGTGCCTTGGTTTCTTTCCGCTTAACGCGGTCCAATTGGCTCCTGGCTCTCACTGACAGCGCGCAGGGACTCAAAATGGGATTTCATGGAATGAAATCCTATTCAGTGATATAAAATCATACGAGAAATGCGTAACGCATAACGCCGGAGGCACGTTGGACAGCGAAGCAGTCAAAAGCCCCGTAATTTCATGAAATTACATTTTGCTGAAGAGTATTTACAGTGAGTTTACTGTTGAGTACATTATGACAACCCTGTATCCCGTCCAGGAGTTGATTTCGGGTCTTCACGTTGTCGGGTGAATTCGTCGTCCCTCTGACGTAAAGGCCTATCTCAATTTCCAAACGAGCCCTGTTTCACGTATTAATCCATGCTTTTTGGGGCTCATTCGAAAATTGAGATACGCCCTTACGTCAGACGAGCGACGAATTGTCGGCTTCGCAAGATTTTGAAGAGAAAACCGGCAACGTTTTCCGAGGTCAAACCTTGTCAAGTGACTCTTGATTACGTCGCTCCTTTGTCAATGTCCTCAAAACTTTATTCTCGAACTTACTGATCTTTGTGAGAACACGGCAGTACTGTGATATGCCTTCACAGCCGAGTTTGTGATAATGCGACCCAGCGGGCCGATTATTGTAACCGATAGACAAAGCTGTAGGCAAAGGAGACAAAAGAGATCTGGAGAGATCCTACTGGTGGAAGCGGGTGTTTGCAATGGACAAAGGAGGTAGGTAATAGACTAACTAACGCGCAACTTACGAGAGACCCGACAGTTAGTCTATCGTTTTCTCCCTTTGTCTATAGGAACCACCCATTTCAACCAATAGGATCGCTCCATACTCCCTATGTCTTCTTTGTCTATAGCTTTGTCTATCAATTTCAATAATCAGTCCGCAGCTAGACTGGTGAACATGATCGGAACCAGTGGAGGATCGCAGACTTGTTCCGGGAATCCTGTCCATTCCGGAAGCCGCTCTAAAGAAAAACGCCGTATGAGCCTTCAGACGTTGCCAAATTTCCTTTCATAAAATATTAATCTCCAGGGAAATCTGTGAACATTCTTCCTTGAATTTTTCAGAGAACTTTATTTGCGACCAGATCTAAATTATCTGAAAATTTCGAGAGGAAATGTTCATGACTCTCCTCCAAAATAAACAATTTATCGGAGGAAGTTTGACAACCTTCGAATGTTCACGCGGCGTTTTTCCTTCGCACGGTAGCGTTTTGATAACGTGTATCGTAGGCAACTTATCCGATGGGATAAGACTTACGGAAGCGTGAGTTTGTCATTTTACTGGCAAAAGGACGTATCAACCAGTGGCTTGCCATTTTCCACGATGAATCGATTGGTCTGCCTTTAAACCTATGGAAAAGGATCGATTATCAAG